AATAATAATAATAATAATAATAATAATAATAATAATAATAATAATAATAATAATAATAATAATAATAATAATAGTATTAATTGTACAAAAATCCAATGAGGAAGAAAACATCAGATGCTGTTTTGGAAATCATTATGGTTATATAGACCATGCTTGCCTGACCTGAAAGAGTCATGTATAGGAAATGGAAGGTAGCATTCTCACCAGGGAAATGTACCAGGAAGTACCTAGTCTAATAACATAATGTTCAGAAACTAAACTGAAACCAGCTTGGCGAGTAAACCACTGACAAAATGGTCTGAAAGTCTAAAACTGGTGGGATTTAGGCTGGCATTGAAAGCTAAAATGAATTGAAAAGGCTACCTTGGCTATGTTAGGAAAAAAAGGAAGAATGGTAGAGAGAGACCTGCTATTGGAAAAAATGGTAGGATGTTAACATGTTAGGAAGAAAAAGAAAATTTTCTTAGCATTTTTGTTTCAGTCGCCTTCCTGAAGGCAAAATATGTTCCAAGGAAATAGGGAAAAATCATGGATGGATTGGCAACAAAAATTAAACAATGAGATAGATAAACATGCTTATTATGAACAACTTTAAGTAACCAGGATTAAATCAATTATTTAAGAAATTAGACAGAGCCTGCAGATAGCATTTTGAAAACTATATCTGTGAAGTTTGAAAATTATGGAAGAGAGGACTGATACCAGGGACTGGGAATTGTTTGCATCTTCAAACAAGTGGGCTATTCTGTCATGATAGTGGATAGTGGATTTGTTGAACAATCTAATCCAACAAGCATACATCTGTTCAGGTTATCTGGATGGAAAAGTATGTAAGGTTCATTTCTAAGATATTGTTCAATATATTCATCAATAACTTGGATTTGGGTGTTATAAGTTAGGATTACAGAATTAATAGATGATAAGAAGATGTGGGGGAGAACAACAAAAAGAATCAAGAGGATCTTGACAAACTGGAATGATGAATAAGGCCTACGAGGTAAATTTCAGTAGGGGAAATTTAAATTTTAGAAAGAAAATTTGCTAAGAAAAATAAAGAACGGGAATATAGTATGGCAGAAAGTGGGACATACAAAACAAAACAGAGGAATCAGAAATTGAACTTAAACAATAGTGTGATACAGGTGCAAAACAAAACAAAACACTATATGGAATGATTTTTTGGTAGTTAAGTATCCAGTTTAAGAGTATCGCTTATTCCTTTCTATTCTGTATTGGGTAGCATACAGTGTAATCCATGATAATCAACCACCCACTAAGTTTCAGGGACAGCCTATTATCTTTCTAGCTTTATGTCATTTATCCCATGCAGAAAATGTGCTTATTTCCACTCATCATGAATGCAGCAGAGAGTTAGTTTGTATAAATGTATAACATTTGAAGAATGAAGGTGATAATTACATTCATTCTCTGTGATTTATTGTTACTGCAGCTCACTGACGGTCTATCAGTAAATATAGAAAACTATATTTAGAGTCTGACAGTATGCCAAGTAAGGCAAAAAGTAAACCTTCATTTGCGTTTCAGAAAAGAAGGATGGGAGGCAAGGATCCATCTCCCTAATTATGGTTCTCTTTTTGAGAACAGTAATTATGAAGGATCTTTTCATTACAAGTTAAGGATAATATTGCTTGGAGGCTATAAACTGGCTGGCTGGATTAATTCTATTTTAGTACTGGAATATAAGAAATACTGTTCATCAAAGTTTTTGATGCAGTGAGCCACTTTGATTCAATACTCCTTTTCTCTTGTATGTCAATATGATGAAGTGATAAGCAAAGCCTGTAGTGAGAAGAAATCAATGAGAAAATCCCTTTACAGCTTACCTTTGCATTATCTCTCATCATTACCATTAACCTCCAAGTATATGGAAGCTAGAGGACAGGTCTGGGTAAATTCCACGTTTCTGCTGTTTTTGTTGTTTATCAGATTTAACATTAATATTTAATGGCATTAAATTGGCACTTTTTATCTCTCATGTATGTTATCATGGTTCACTTGCTGAAAAGTTAATATTTAATTCAATATTTTGACTCATCACAAAAGGACACTGAGGTATAAGAGAATATAAAGTTACAGTGCAGATGGACAATCCAAACAGAAAAATAAAATTAATATTTAAAAGCATAAAATAGTTCCTGATTTTCTCTCTCTCTCTCTCTCTCTCTCTCTCTCTCTCTCTCTCTCTCTCTCTCTCTGTCACATACACACACACACACACACACACACATACACACACAGAGTGCTTACAACCAATAGCATATTAGATATTAAAGATCAACTTAACCTTATTCACTCTTCAATGTTCTACTGATTCTTCGGTTATACAAATGTCATTACATTAATAATTTCCATGGGTCTTACTTGTCTGTCTTTTAATTTCCTTTATCTGAAAAATGCATTTATCTTCCCCTTAGCTTCCATTTTAACTCCATACATAAATCTTTTAAAAAAATCTTCAATATGCAAATTGTTTTAGAAACATACTAAACCCATTCATGAATAATAATGCTATAAATTACAACCTGGTTACCTCTGTATTATTTGTCATACTTTTTCCATCAACAATAATTTGGGCAGCGTGCAAGAAGATAAACGATGATCTAAGTAGAAGGAAGCATTCCTTAGGATTTAATGACACTTGATTGCTTCCTGTCTTCATAAGAAATTACAATGATTCTGATTGTTTTGTCTAGGAAACTATTATGTAAATTAGATAACTTTATCTTCTGGGAAAGATTTTTATATTCTAATCCAGGAGTCCCCAACCCCTCTCTGTGGATTGGCACTGGGTCACGGCATGCCAGCGATCACGCTATGCAAACAAGCGAAGCCCCATCCAACGGATGGAGGCAACACAGGAAACCATACTCCCTCCGATCCATGGAAAAACCTTCTCCACAGAACTGGTCCCTGGTGCCCAAAAGGTTGAGGATTGCTGTTCTAATCTAAACATTGGTCTTAACATAGAAGAAGACACCCAAAACTTTTAAATTACAATGGCTAGCCTTGCTCACCATAAGTGTCATTTTTTAAAATACAAGATATGTTTAATGTATAAAGCATGTACTATTATTAAAAACTCATCAGAGCCATAAACAGATTGTTCATGGACTAGGCAATCAGATGGTTAAGTGATTATCCAAGGACGCTATTGTTCATAAATGCCTATACTCCTACAGATTTTTTTTACCAAGAAAAAATATTGCTTACTGTGTAAATAAATACAGTATGTACCTTGTAAATAAATTCTTCTTTCATTTTTTTTTCATTGTTTTCAAAATGCTACGTGTACTAATTAAATCCTATTTTATTGCAAATTTTAATAGAAATAATTAATGGAAGCTTACTATCCATATCTCCCTTTTTACATTGCAATTAAGAAATTCAGCCTTTCATTTTAAATTTAAAATTCATTCTATTTACCACTCAATTTAATAGAAAAGTATTTTTCTTACCATTCACTTGAAGAATATGAGTCTGATAGATTTGATCATATCCATCTGCATAGCAGCTATAATTTCCCATGTGAGTTGTAGTAATCTTAGTAATGTATAGGGACCCATCATCTCCAAAATCCTGAAGAAAAAGAAGAGGTGATCAAAATGACCCTCAGAACATTATCCTATCTATACCGAATTTCTCTAAAAAAGAAATAAAGTGTACAAGTTATAGTCTCTTATCCCAGATTTAAATCACCTTTAATTTTTAAGATCTTTAAAACATTCAAGCTATACAAATTTGATTCTGTAGATATTGATGGCATTTTGCCAGATGACAATCTTTCACTGTCTTTGATATTCAGATTGCCATCTGGCAAAATGCAGTCAATTTTCATGGTGTCAATCAGACTACGATGTTTGTTTCTTAAGAGTTCAGACCACATAAAATGGTATTAACAATAGAAATTACTGTTCATAGAAAACAAAATAATAGTTGAAAGCTTCTGGAAACCCAATTTAATATTTCCATTCAATGGTTTAGATGTTTTTGAGCACTGGTGGGATTCAGCCGGTTCTCACCGGTTCGTGAAAACTGTTAGTTAATTGCTTACGCAGTTCAGACAATTGACTAAAAATGAAGTGTAATATGGTTTTTTTTCTCTCTCTCTCTCCCTTCAGTCAGGGTGCGATTCAACTGGTGTAACAACTGGTTTGGTGAGCATACACTTGGCGTGCGCACACACACAGCATTTAGAAAAGACAATTTTTAGCTGTAATATTTACCTTCTGCTGCAGCCCCGGTGAGTACAACAGCTGATGCACGGCAAACCGCTCTGCCATGTGAATCAGCTGTGCTCAAAAACAAGGAAATAAAGCACAGGAAAAGGGCAGGGGTGGATGGGTGGGCGGGGCCAAATGATCACTGGAACAACACCTAAACCAGTCTGAACGAGTAGAATCTCACCCCCTGCCTTCAGTAAATAGCTCCAGGCAGATAACCAAGAACCACTTAACAGTTGCTGGAATGGAAGTCAATAAACAACAGAAATTGACAGGATTAGGGCAGGGAAATCCATCAATCAGCCCATCTAGGGATGGGATTAATCGCTTTCTTTCAGGAAGAAGGACAAGATTACAAACATTTTCATTATAAAGAGTATTAAGTAACACTTCTGTGATCAGCTGATACTCTCTGGAGTTCCCCAAGACCTTTTATAGCTGCTGCAGTTTTGGCTTCTTCTTGTTTCTTCCTGGGGGAAAAGATACAGGAGGGGACAATGATGCAGCTTGATCATACAGGCCATAAATTTAATGCATGTGTGGTCCAGCCAGCTGTATTGCTTCTGCTGTGAAGCACCCTATTTAGAACATAGAGAACATAGAATAATAAAGTTGGAAGGGTTAATGGCTTTTGGCAGCATGCCCAGGCTTTCAATTAGCATGAGGAGCTGCTCTTAGTTTCCCTCTCAGCTAATGTCTTTGCTTTGGGGTTGACTTTTTAAAAAAATGGGGATTGACTGTTTTAAGTTTTGTGCATTGTTTTAGTGGTTCCTGGCACTGTCCTTTTAGGGTATACTTTTCTCACTCTTTTTGAAAGCCTCTAGTGATGGAGCACCCACAACTTTTGAAGACAAGCTATTCCATTGGTTGATTGGTCTCACCCTTAGAAAATTTCTCCTTAATCCTAGGTTGCTTCGTCCTCTTTTGTAAGTTTCCATCCATTGTTTCTTGTTGTGCATTTTGGTGCTTTGGAAAATAGATTGACTGCCTCATTTTTGTAGGAGTCCCTCAAATTTCCTGACATAACAATTAATCAGTGGGACAACTTGCCTCCAGAAGTAAATGCTCCAACACTGGAAGTTTTTAAGAAGAGATTAGATAACCATTTGTCTGAAGTGGTGTAGGGTTTCCTGCCTAAACAGGGGGCTGGACTAGAAGACCTCCAAAGTCTTTTCCAACTCTGTTATTCTATTCTATTCTAGACATTGAAACAGTGCCAGGGGTGGGATCCAGCAGGTGTGGACCGATTCGGGTGAACCAGTAGTTCTGGTGATCATTTGGCCCCACCCACCCACCCCTGCTATATTTCCTTTGTTTGAAGCCCAGCTGATCTGTGTGGCAGCCCCTAAGTAGGGCTGCAGTAAAAGCTAAGTTTTTCTTCTATTTTGAAAAGTATTGCGTACGCGCATTACCCATTTGGCACACAAAGCGCATGCCTACCAAACTGGTTGTTACAGCGGTTGAATCCTACCACTGAACAGTGCTATTTTATTGTGAGTTGGACTAAGGAGAAATTTCCTAAGGACCAATCAAGTTGGCCATGCCCACCCAGTCACATGCCCACGCAGCCATGCCCACCCACTCATTAGGGCAGAGAATTATTTTGGTTGTTAAATTATTTAAATCCCACCACTGTTTATGAGCATGTAATATTGTAAATGAATCTTCTTTCAGCTAAATTAGTATTATATATACTGTGTGTGGTGCATATATATATGTATGGATATATTCTACATATATTCCCTCAGAGAAGTCAACAGAAGGTGCTGAACAAAAGGAAGTTCCAAAGTAGCTAATCAAAGCCAAAAAGAAGTTAAGTATATTAGAAAAGTAGATCACTGATTTAATGGGGATATGTAGAGAGATGCTATCTACCCTGTTTCTCCAACAATACGGCCTCCCCCAATAGGAAGTCCCAGCATGTTTTATAGGCATGAAATGAAATTAAGCCCCTCCCCCCCAAATTAAGGCCTATATTAAAACATGCGAAATGGGGGGAATGGTGGGTGGGGCTTGCCGTTAGGAAGTACTTTTGTTGCACACCCGGATATGGTGCTGCCTGCGTTGACCCCAATATGAAGTGCCCCACCAATGCCGAGGTCAACATCCAAGCCGTTGCCGCCCGATGCAAGGGGGGGAATTAAGTCACCCCCGAAAAGACGGCCTAGCCATTTTTTCGAGGCTCAAAAAAAACCAAGACCCGGCCTTATTATATGAGAAACACGGTATCTCTTCTTCATTTTCCTGTGATGTAAAAAATACAGATAATTCAGTTGTGAATGCAAATACATGTTTTATAGGTCTAAGACTAAAAGACTATTGATTATAACAGTTTCTACCCCACTTTTTCAATGCAGGAAGAAGAGATTTGTCAGCCAGTGGAATAAATATTACAGAAAAAATTTTTTTTTTGATAATTAAACTTTATCAGAGAGGTTGTCAATCTAACTTCCTGAAATTCCAAAGTTCAGATGCAGCACTGAGAGGATATTACTTTGCTATAATCAAATATACTTCGTGTGGTTGGCAAAATAGCAAAGGGATTACCCGTTAGATATAAGGAAAAAGGTCCTTTATAGGAAGTTCCTTGGACTTGGGAGTTTTGGAGCTTAGGGGAACTTCACACTACGACTGAATTATACAGAGAAGCCAACTCGTAGTCAATATAGCTCTTATGGAAACACCATAATATCTTCAATCTTGCAAATATAAAACAGTGTTCTTGCTGTTATGTTTGTAAACTACTCAACTTTCTAGAGATTTTGTAAAATATTCCAACTTGAACCCTAACTAAATTATATTTCATTTCATCAGAAAAAGAGAACATCAGCCTAAATAAAACTGTCCTACTTGAAATCCATTTCTACAAAATAATCCAAAATGATATCGAGGTATATTATATTAAGTATTTCTGAAAGGGCAGCAGAATCACTGGATATACCCCTAAATTATACTGTAGCTTCTGGATAGAGCAACGGAGCTGTGTCAGTCTCAGACCCAGGATTGAAACTTGGCTGAAATGGATCTATATAATCTATTTAATTTAAAACATCTGGACCTTAGATACAATCTTATACTCAAGTGAGAAAGGAAAGTTGCAGAGCAACTGGAAATAATTAGGGCTGTCTACAGTTTTGTATTCAGTTCCAAAAAGAGGTTTATTTTTTAAGGTGCATCTTCCTTATCCCTAAGCACCTCTTAGGGATAAAAAGTCTTACATTACCCAAGATTCTGTCATTATCTCCATAAAAAACTGAAATCCAGATGTTTAGATTGAATTTGGCATTTTTATCCAGTGATTGACTACTTCTCAACGACCCAGGATGAGCAGATGTTGTTTGGTGGTATTAAAGGTCAGGCAAAAAATTAGGAATTCTGTTCTTTCTTTCTTTCTTTCTTTCTTTCTTTCTTTCTTTCTTTCTTTCTTTCTTTCTTTCTTTCTTTCTTTCTCTCTCTCTCTCTCTCTCTCTCTCTCTCTCTCTCTCTCTCTCTCTCTCTCTCTCTCTCTCTCTCTCTCCCCCTCCCTCTCTCTCCCCCCTGTCTTTCTCTCTGAATTGAACAATGTGAATTCAGATTTGTTACTGATTGCTCCCAGGAGCAGTACTTCTCCAGATGCAAATGACAGCTATGAGATAAGATACCTTCAAATGTGGATTTGTTCTCCATTGAGAGATAACAATAGAACTGACAGATGCATGAAAAGAACATAAACAAGAAAATGCATTTTCTGGCATTTTATTTTGTTATGGATTTTTCAGGAATTAGCTCAACTGCCCAGCAATGAAGTCTAAGTATTTTTCTATACTATTTCTATGTAGAACTGATGCTATTTTGTCCACAGTTGCCCAAACCATTCAATAAAACAATCAATAGCAAATCATAAACATGCCTAAAAGCAGCACAATGGGAGCTTTAAGAATATTTTTGAATTCTTTATTGTCATTGTACGTATATAGTATACATACAACAAAATTCACATAACAACCAGAGACCAGACTCAACATGCACACACACACGACAATCCCCAAACACCTTCCCACCTGCCAAAATTTCCTGCCTCCTGAAAACACACAAACATCCACACAACAGACAAATAATACTGTCCAACAGCTCACTGATGGTGGTCCTTAAGTTCATTGTTAAGTGCAATTATAGTTCTGGGATAAAAACTATTCAGAAAACATGTGGTTTGATGTTTAATTGTTCTGTATCTTCAGCCAGAAGGCAACAGTTCATAAAGATTGTAAGCAGGATGGGAAGAGTCTCTGAGAATGTTGTGCAACTTCCTCAAACAACGAGATGTGAAGATGTCATCAAGGGCTGGTAGCTGGAGCCCAATGATATTCTGGGCAGTTT